CCAAGCTGACTTCCTCTCATTTTCAGGCTCCAAAGAAGCCTGGAAACTGAAGACACCTGACGGAAGCCTGCTTTGTTTCCGCCTTCAAGATCGGGCTTGCTTCTGACCCTGCCGCCTCAAAATAGGAGCCAGGCTGCTGTGACATCAGAGAAAGGTCACAAGATTGCTGCTAGAGATAGGGGACGTGTAAGGTGAGAGAAGGACAGATCCAGGCAGTGGTGGAGAGAACGGGAGAACCCCATTGTGTGGCTGCACGCTGCATCAGCATGTTTATGGGCTGGGCAAGAGACTGGCAGGCTTCCTGACTGTTCAGCACAGGAGCATATCCACCATGTCAGGCTCCTTGCAGAAGGCAGGCCTAGTGGATCACAGACTTGTCCTCATCCAAAGCCTCTCTCAATTGATGGGTGGCCACACAAGGCAGGGCTTTTTCTGTGGTGGCCCCTCGAAAGAAGGGGAGGAGGGGGAGGGGAAGATTGGATTTACACCCTGCCCTTCACTTGGAGTCTCAGAGCGGCTTACAAACTCCCTTCCCTTCCCCTCCCCACAACAGACACCGTGTGAGGTAGGTGGGGGCTGAGAGAGCTCTGACAGAAACTGCTCTTTTTCAAGAACAGCTCTGACAGAACTACGGCTTGCCCAAGGTCATCCAGCAGCTGCAAGTGGAGGAGTGGGGAATCGAACCCGGTTCTCCCAGATTAGAGTCCGCACACTTAAACACTGCACCAAACTGGCTCTCATCCTCCTGAAGCAAGCCAAGTTTCCAGCACCAGTTAGGCATCGGCAGACTTGGCCAATTGAATGTTCTCTGTGTTATTTAACATCCCTGCGAATTTAACAGACTTCACCCTCTTGTCTTTGAACATCGCATCGCTGTTTGAAAACAGATGCCGGCGATTATTCCTGGCACCAGTTATTTATAACATTTTATTGGCATTTTTAGTTTCATTTCCACACCAATATCGCCCTGTGGCTGCTAAAAGGACGGTAGTGCTGCTGATTAATGTAAGCCATATCTAGGGTTGCCAAGTCGACTTACCTGCAAAGCGGGGGAATTCCTGGCTCCGTCGGGAGTCCCCTTGCGCACGCGCCATGATGGCGTCACCGGAAGTGACGTCATCGCATTGCCCACGTTGGGGGTGGGG